AGAATGACCGTTGAATTAACACATTATTAAATTCTGGAATTCTTCGCCTGAAACCCACTAGAAGCAATTCTATTTTCTAAAGGAAATTTTAGTCAACCGAGGTTTGAATATTTGCAGTCGTTATTCAGCGGAAATCTTTACAATTTAAAACCTTTTCACAAATTGTAACTTTCGCCATCAAAAATATTTTCGGGATAAAAAGCCACGCGCCGCCATCAAAAATCTTTTGGTGGCCAATGTAGAACTACATAAAAACAATCGTAGCGTCAAACCCTTGGCCGAGAAATCGTTTCACTGATCTGAAGCTTTTGAGCTTCAGATCAGTTTCTATAATACTTTCCTCTACTTCATTTCTAGCTAGTAAAGTGGAAGTGAATTTTCGGCCATAGCATCGGCATCTTCAAGTAAATGTCTGGTCAGAATTGACTCTTGAAAAATATTAGGATCAGAAGAGTCTCGAGATACCAAGACTCGAACGTAGGACGCTTTTTTCGAAAAGATTATTTAAAAACAAATCAAGCCAAGAAGATCAAGCTTATAAGTCAATAAACCATCTAATTAAACTCTTAAATTCAAGCAAAAATAACAAGGAAAGTAAGGAGAGAAAATTGTTAAGGAAGTCAATTGATCGAATTAGCCTTAATCCTTTCGCATAGATAGTCGAACTTTGACTGAGATTTTCACCATTCATACACTGTACTAGGATCTTGTTAAATAGGCATTGAATATGATCCTAGTGAACGGTAACGTTCTGACGGTAAACCTAGATTCTGAGTTTTGATCGGAAGTTTTGATCGGAACTATCATTCAACGCTGTGTTTAAGAGCAACTACAAGTTGATCGATAAACTATACGTTGAGATACTGAGAAAAAAGAAAAGTTATCAAAAGTACAGTCCTAGCTTTTTAGCTTTTTTCCAACAAAAATTTTTTTTTCTAAAAATCTTTTAAGAACACTTTTCTAGACATAATTTTGGCCCAGAAGTTCGAATCCGTCGAAAAAATCAGGGATCACCCAACGAAAAAACCCTCTTATACAAATTGCTTTTTAAATTTGCTAATTAAAATTGCTCTAAAAACCCACCTCTTAAATTCGTGAAATTCAATAGCTTTTCCTTGTCCTGAAAATTTGAAATCATTCATTTAAAACCTGTGGATTTTACATGGTAAAAAGAATAAAGCCAAAATCTACTGGTTTTATCTATAAATGATTTATTTATAAATGATATAAATTATTCCACTAGCATTTAGAAATGAGAAACAAATTCGCACGGAAAACTAACGAAAAGCCATTTTTTGAAAACGTGAAAACATCCATTTTTTGGCTCTGCTGCCCTTTACTTTACTAAAATAGCTGTAAAATCTTTTAGAAAAGAGATATCTCAAGACGGTTTTTGTACCCATCGATCTGTATTGGATTCATCTTTAGCATGAGCTATAAAACGTATAAAAGATATCAAGGGTGAGAGAATTTGAACCGAGAAAGATTGAAGAAAAAGATCACCAGAAAGGCGAGAGTTCAATATTATTAGAGATTAATGTTTTCAAAAATGAACATGTTGCGGGCTGTGCATTGGCAGATGAATGGGTGGTGATGGCCAACAAACAGATGCCAAATTTGTTTTCCGCTGGGGCTTGTCTCAGTCTTAAAGCGAAAAGTAAAATCTATTAGCCTTTAAACCCCTTTTTGGTCCCTGGCTCTCGTTCTTCCCAAATCCAAGCGTTCTAATTAAATCTCGCGCTCTAGGGCAATATCCGTCAATGCCAATGGCTTCATGGTAGTAAAAAGGCATCCTCAGACAAGAATGTGTTATTTGTTCGAAAACCATCAACAATGCGCCAACAACAAAGTTCGGGGATGCCTTAAAATTATTTTACTGAAAAGTCATGTATTAAAGGTAGTGATTATTCCAAAGGTAGTGATTATTCATAATAATTGAAAGATATAAATCCAGTGTTATAGATGCGATCCAATATTACAAAGCCTGACACTAATCAAAGCATTTTCAGTACTGAAAGCATTTTCAGTACTGAAAGCATTTTTAGTACTAAAAGCATTTTCAGGCCTGAAAGCGTTTTCTGGACTGAAAGCGTTTTCAGTCCTGAAAACCGTTACAGTAATCAATGCTTTTCAGTGCTTTTCAGTGCTTGTCGCAATGTTTTCTAGTAAATCAAAGCATAACTAATACAGTAATTTCGGCAATGAAGATGCCTAGTCAACTAAATCAAAACTAAAAATTATCAAAAAATCATAGCGACATGTTTTCGTTGAGTCTTTGAACTTGAATATAAAAAGAAGAAGAAAATGAACAAGGTCACCCGTGCGGCGCAAATTTTTGTAGTCAAATTCATCTTTCTCTGAGAAAGAAATATTTGCCTTTTCGATTACGATTACGTTTTAATTTTATGGCAAAGTTTAATGGTGGTGGCCCATTAAAAATCTTGGGGTAGACCTTGCGCAACTGGGTCATTTGTATAACTGGGTGATTTGTGTAACTGGGCCATCTGCGTAACTGGGTCGCTTGCGCAAGCTCAACACTCAAATCCTCCATTAGATCTTGATGTGACAAACTGTAGATGTTCAGTCTAGATCAGAGTATTCAGTCTAAACTGTCTGGATTAGGGTATTCAATCTAGAATAGGTCCAAAATTCAATCCAAAATTGCTAGATTACGGTATTTAGCTTAGATTAGGGTATTCAGTCTAGATTAGGGTATTCAGTCTGGATTAGAGTAAATGTAGATGTAGATGGAAGCAATTGAACAAACCTATAGGAAACTGTAGATGTAGGATAGAAGCAATAGAAAACAGCAATAGAAGATGTAGAGTAGAAGCAATCGAAAAAAGCAATTGAACAAACTGTAGATGTAGAATAGAAGCAGTTGCTCTATAAATCCGTAAATCGACGGCTTGATGAATCGGTGAAGTATTCGGACATCCTCCATATCCACACTCGTAAGGCTTCTAAATTGCGGCACTTTGTTAAAATCTTCTTTTATTAGCTCACCGCATTTGAATGGGTTAGTTTCGTGTGTTTGCGTTCACTTCTATGATCACTCACGCCTGAAACAATGGATTTTCCTGTATTGAAGTGTATTGTATACCTCTCCACATTCGGTACACTTGAATGGCTTTTCGCCGGTCTGAAATCGTTCGTGGATTTTGAGATACTAGAGGCGATTATATGTGGCCGAACATCCAATAACTTCACATTCTCTTCAGTGTGCTGTCTTACGTGAGTTACCAACAGGTAGTTAGCTTTCCAAGTTCTTTCAGGAAATTCTTTTCCTCATCTTTATTTCTTTATCTTTTACTCCTTTTGTTTGACCTTCTTTTTCCGGCTCCTTCCGGCAAAAAGAAGAGCTTTGTGGAATCTCTCAAAAGTAATTTTGTAAAGAAATGGTCGACCATTTTGATGAAACAAAACGCGTATTTAAAGAAGGTTTTATGGGTGCAAAAAGTTTCTTTAAATTTCGGTGCCGACTCATTCTCCCCAAACCAAGTAATCAAAAGGGGATGCGCTAAAAGTTCCCAAACAGCTATTTATTTTAGAGCCAGTCAGTTTTGCAACATGAGGGCGCGCGTTGTCGTGGATGAGAACGATAAGATTTTCTTATATTTTAACCCTTAAAGCTCTTAAAGGCTTGAAATAAGCTTGGAAGCTTTATCACTGTCACACAATAATTGGCAGCCTCTCAAAACCCTTCAAATAGCCTCTCAAAACTTATCATCATATACAACTAATAGCCTACAACTCTATAAATGAGCAGTTTATATTTCAATTTTTTAGTTCGACAATTTTGAATGGATCAAACGGCCCTTATCGAGCAATAGAACGCACGGAAAGTCGGATCTTCGACGTGTTCAACAATACTGTGAATTCTGCCGAGGATTTTGTGAGATGACTTTGGCAGTTTTAACTAGAAAGCTCAAGTTGACATTCTCGTTCTAGGTCTTATTTATTTCTAAGTTTTTTTTGCTACCTCGGATCCCTAGTTTTGACCCTAGACTCCAGGTTCTATGAAATGCAGTTCATAACCAGTTCATGAGTGAAGTTAAAGAAAAATTGAAACGTGATTTCGTCATAATCTCCACAATTTTACAAGCAATTGAAATTCAGTGCTCGGCATTTAGGAGCACTAAATTTGAGTTTTCATTATTTTTTGTGTAACACAACATAACTTAGAATAAATGTTTTGACTCCGCCTATGTAATTAAAATTAGCTTAAAAATCAGATTTAAAACCAGAATGACAATCAACAAACTTTTGCATTTGTAGCTTGAAAGGCTGTCAAGCTTTGATGAAATTAGCTTCCCAACAGATTTTATAAGTTTCTTCTAATTTTAAAATCCATTTATTTCTGTTCTAAAAAGGGAGCTCGTTCCTCACCCTAAAGTTCGATTTAAGCCAATGATGCTAAAATAGACTCTGTGGTATCCAACGGTCTGAAACAGATTTAACTTGTAAGCAAACATAACTCTTCTCTTTCTGCTCTCAAAAAAACAATTGTCTCCCGATTGAATATAATCTTTTGTGAAAATCCGACGTCTTCACCAAATCATAATCAATGCCATTAGGAGATTTAGAAGCGATACTCAACTTTGGCGACTCTGATGGTTTAGTTTCCTTCTGAAAATTAAAATATCAAAAAGAAAATTTGCGCTCCGGTGATTTAATCAGTGTAGAGATTGAATCTAGTCAAAGGCAAAACAATAACTCAAAGTCCTCAAAAGCTTGAATCTGTTTGATTTTTACTTGGATTCTTGGGCAAATATTTCAAATATTTTTATATCAAATTTGGACTAAATCTAATCTCTACACTATGCTATTTAAGTTAAATCAAATCCAAATCATGGTTTTTGGAACATATATGGAATGCTGACAATAAACATGAGCTGCTGTTTTTCTTACTGGTTCTTTTTTTGCTTCGACTTTATTTTTGACTTGACTGAGCGATTTTTTAGCAAACGATGGTTTTTTTAGCAAACGATGGTTTTTTAGCAAATGATGGTTTTTGTTTCTTGATTGAGCCATTCACAAAGTTTCCGAGTGACTGGAGTCGCTTTTGCTGAAAATAAAAAAGATATTATGCAAGTGTTAATTAACTGTAGCCAAGGCTGGACGAGTCGCTCATTATTCCCACTTGGTACCAAGTCGGGCCATATTTTGCAACAAGCGGGCCTCCGGAATCTCCCTAAAAGCAATATTTAATGCTTAAAGGACATTTGCCTTGGTAGTGGCCTTTCCGCGACCACAGAAGGTGTCTTGCTCATCAAGACAGTCAGCGCGTAAAACGGCCTCTTGTACTTTGGCTTTTTCTCCTGAATAAAATAAGGTCAAGGCGCTAAAAAGGTTTCAGGTTTAATCATTAACATCTCAAATCTCCTTTCTCCTCTATATTGCTAACAGCTTTTGATTTTTACCGTCTCCCATTCCAAAAGCAATCATCGGTTCTTTCAGTGTCAAGCCTCTAGCTTCGAGACATACTCGCCTTCCGAAATCATCACTGGTGTCAATATCCGTTTCCAGCTAAATAACATATATTAGTGGGGCTGCTTTTAACATTGAACAGTAAGCCCACCTCTAAAAGAGCGACGTCACCATGTTCCCAAACGCGAGCCGTTTGACTTTGAGCTTGTATCTGAATACTCGTTTACTGGCTGCTAACTTGTCATACCTCGACTTTATTGCCTTGCCTGAACCTGTAACTCAAATAGTAGTACCACCGGACGTTTTTTCGGACGCAGCTTGCCGCCGTCATAACCCATTTTGGAGCAATGTAGGATCCGCCGCAATTGGTCTTCAGATTAGTTGTCCTCAAATTTTTTAGGTTTTCCCTTGTTAAAGTCTACTTGATTTTTCAATATTCAAGCAATATTCACTTTTTATTTATTGTTAAAAATCTGAATGAACAAACATCAACAGAGGGTAGACTTAGCAAAAAGCTTACTCATCCACGTGTTCCACACGAACAAAATAGGGGTAGCTGGAATCTCTAGAATCTACTCCTTGATGGATCTTGAGCTTTCTTGAGCCGAAGTTCTAAAGTCGAAAGGATTGTTTGATGATGCTTCAAAAACTCAATGCTCAAAAATGCATTTATCCACGTTGAATATTTTTACTTGAGTAAGTGACCTACCCACGAAATTGGGTCCACACTCGTTTTGCCGCAATCAAACTCTGGAAAACCATTTTATCTAACTACCTTTTATTACCCCTTTTCGGTCCCTGGCTTTCGTTTTTGCTAATTCCAAGTGTTTGCATTAAATCTCGAGCTCTAGGGCAAAATCCGTCAATGCCGTTGGCTTCATGGTAGTAAAAAACATTTTCAAATAAAACTGTGTTATTCGGTCGAGAATCGTCAACAATGCCGGTGGTTGCAAAGTTCCCAAGCTGCCTTAAAATCTTGTTGCTTAAGAGCCTTCAAATTCAATTGTTTTTTGGCTCTATCCAAACAGAAACTCTCACCCGTTTTTGGCAAAAAAGAGCAAAACCTTTCGGTAGCCCGGAGATTCCGTTATGATTTTTTCAAATCTCCAAAAAGCCATGGGAGCTCATCAGAATGCGATGCGTCTAAAATTATTTTAATTAATTGTCGCGCCTCTCACATTTTCGACTATTTTAAAAAATGACGCTTTTAAAAACTTAAAAACAAACGCCGATTCTCATCCCAAGATCGGGCCGCCAAAGTCGCGTTATAGGTGTAAACAAACAACGAAGGAGGCACCCTAGCATTCCTTAGCTTTTCGACTTCGCTGACTATGGGAACATGAAAGACAAGGTCGGTCATTGACTAAACTTGAAAAACATAAGCCAAATGAGTCAGTGAGTTACGTTGACCACGACTTCAAACCAAAACCATTGCTCGGCTGTAATCACTGTCTCACTGGTTATTGTTCGCGTCGAATACAGTTTTGGATCGTACTTTTGAGTGTAAAAGTTCTCCAAAGTATCAAGCCGGTCGTCGGAAATCCCCATGTAGGCAGTGATAGTTTTGCGAAATCTAGCGCTAGAGTAATCCGTCCTGCCCATGTATTTCGCAAAAAGATTTTCTAAATGATTTTGAAAAAGTTTTCCAGAAGCGACAGACCAAAAAATGCCCACTCGCCAGTGGTAAGGCCGATGAGAAATTCATGTCCACGGCTTGATCTATCCATGGATTCGTGACCAGATTTGGGAAAGTAGTACCCATCAGCAAACAAAACCCAATTTTTCTCCTGTTTCTGAAAGCAAAAAGCAAAACCTTTTTTGCTGGGGCAAATAAAATTTGGGTGAAGAAAGGTACTAATGAGCATACAAAGCCCACCAGATCAATTTGTTCCAGCGCTTCTAGCGGGGCTTTTGTAAGGCATTTGTAGAGAAGCTCCTCAAATTCCTTGTCGTAGGGGTCATACAGGTTGGCGTTGCAAAGCTGAATGTGAGTTTTTACATAAAAAAACAAAAGATACTTCTTTAGCAGCAATAGCACTTGGAGACGCCGGACTTCCAGTCCCGTTAAAACAAATTTCCAAGACACCTGACATTAGTATTACTCGCTTGAAAAGTCCTAAAGTTCCTTAATTATTTCGGAAAAATCAATGCGCCTTGATCGACGGCAGTCGAGATGGCCAGCGCATGAGCAGAGCATGCCCCAGCAGAATGTCCAATCAATGTTATTTGACTTGGATCCCCTCCAAACCTAAATTTTTCGATAGGGTGACAGTTGATTGATTTTAAGGTCACTCATGAATATTTTTTGAGATGAATTTAATTGCCAAATGCGTGTCATCGAGTCCAAGATTTGGGTGAAACTTAGAGGACGGGAAATGTGGGTAGAAGAAACCTAAACTTGCATTTTCGCACATAAAAGTATTTTTACCCAGGACTGACAGCCGATACTGCACCGTGACCACTATAACATTGTCATGGCTAGATAAATTGCCCAAATTTTCGACGGTAAACTCGTTTCCACTTCCAAATTTATAGGCACCCCCGTGGATATAGACAATAACGGGAAGTAACGAAGAGGCGGAAGGCGGCTAAATTTCTTATGTTAATTTTATGTTCAAACAGACATTGGTCGGTCCAAAAACGTTCAAAAAAAGGCAATCCTCGCTGGTTTCAAGGCCGGGAAAAACTGTATCAAGAAACTTTTAGCTAGCCAAGCCTAAAAACCAACATTTTGCTTGAGGGCACGCTTTTGCAGGTTTGTCCATGCTGTTTCCAGGCTCATCTTTCCAATCATTTGCCAAACTAGCTCGCTAAAAATATCTTAAAAAAGCCGAGGCATCTCTTCCTATAACCTGAAATCTTTCTGGTTGATCGGCGTAGCGGACCCCGAGCCAAGCAGAAATCCCGTCTTTTAAAAGACGCCCTTGGGGCAAGCCGGTAGCCATAACTTTCAGTAGCAAAGCGCAGAAAAGAAGACGCATCTAGTCTAAATCTCCTTATGAGAATTCTGTTTGCAATTAAGAAAAAACGAAAAGATGTAGTTTGTCAAATCATGTGAACTTCTTACGAAATCAGGAGAGAAATGAGAGGAATGTTTTGAAAATAATGTTTTGAAGTGGGAGGGGCTTTCTACCCGCATTGATTCTTGAGGCATTAATTCTTTCTGTGCTTGTGGCCGCCGTAAAAAGGACCATTTTAGACTAATGTATTCTATTTTAGGTTCTTTAAAAATTTTAGAAAAATAGATTTTTTTGAAAAATAAATTTAATTGAGCAAGTTGAACTTCCGAGCCGATTCAGTTATTGCAAAACTTTCTAATAATGAATTATTTCGAGCTCCAAGTTTAAAAATAATCGAATACGGCAACAAACAATTTCGAAATTCGAAGCATTTGAAATCTTTAAAGAATCATTAAACCTGTAGCCGGAAATTTTGTTTCATAACATTATTTAAATTTATTTAAAATTTCTAGTACATTATTTACCATTACATTATTTACAATTTTTCTTGGGACAGATGGATATTACACAGTTTTTCAAGATCATTGGCTCAAAATCAAACTGAAAGACAGCGTCTTAGAACAGAATCAGAATTGTTCAGAAATAGAACAGAAATTTTTAGAACAGAATGGAAGATGGTCGAGAATTCATGCTGGTTTAATGCAGATGCTCAAAATAACTCCTAAAACAGACTACCGTATTAATTTTTTTTTGAAAAACTTTGAAGAGGCGTTATCGCTCTCTTTGGATTAGATCTAAAGAAAAAGAGTCGTCTTGAATTAATGTCGTGGCATCATCGTTTCCTAAACATGCTCATAAACGTTCCCAATCAGTGTTAATGGGATCATAAAAAAAACGAAAAAGACTAGTTTTTAGATTTGTTTCAACCTGTAGCCGAAATCTCAGGATTTCATTTCAGCTGATTATTTACAACTTTTAGTTTTATTTTACACAGATGGATACTACACTTTTGATTTATTTCGATTATTTTGAGCTTCCCTGCCTCAAAATCGGCAAAAATCTGGAGGACCTAGTGAAGTTTGCTAAGGAGCATCAAGGATGGACTCTTCAGAAATGCAAAGCTCGTTTATTGAGTGATGAAATCAGGTTTTCCTACTTTGTTAATGGAATTGAGTATACGGGACGTCGCGAAAAAACCAAAGTGACAATAAAAATATGGCGGTGGAGACATTCTCGGGTAGCTTTTCTTGATGGAACTCTACCGCTCAAGCGAATCACATTCGCAGCTTCCAAAATTATCCAATAAGCCATCGTTAAATCTGCAAATTTCTGATCTAAGCCTTTTCAGTGTACACTCTTCCGAGTGTTTGCCAGAAATGCTCAAAAGGATACAGGTCGGAAAGTTGGCTTAACTGCTCCATAACGGCAAACTTTTGTGGCGACACTCCAGAAAGGCTTGATGTTTTCTTGAAAAGTTTAAATTTGGTTGATATTTTTTGTTTCTGGTTCCACGCAATGACACTTGCGAACTCCCAAACGCTGTAGCATCACACAGAAACCAAACACCTACTACGGTAAGGCATACACGAATTGCTTGTCAAGGGCAGAAGTCGTCAATGATAATGGAAGATAAAGACTCTATTCAACGGTCCAAGATAAAGATCTTTTATTTTTTATAGATCTTTTATAGCAACATCGCAAGCTTGAAGAGCTTTTTGACAAACGGCACAGGAAACAACGGTCAAGCAATAAATTTGATTTCGGGCAATTTTGGAGCTCGGAGGGCTAGTTAGTCATCAGTTCGGAACTTGAATAAAAGTCAGCCCCAACTCGCAATCGGGCGCTTATGGAGGCGGAAATCTAGGAAAAGAAGAAAAGAAAGGTGTAAAATGGCAAAGAATAAATTAAAATGAAATGAAAAGGATGCTAAAAATGATAAAAAGAGCGTGTCATCTCAAAAGTATTAATTTTTAGAACGACGTCGCGGCTTGCTGTTCAACAAACGGCAATGGGAATGGTGGTTTCTGCGTGAATGGAGCAGCCTTCTGTAACTGAAAGACGAGAATATATCTTGATTGTTATGGGCAATGTTTGTGTCTTCATTTTAAAGAATTTTTTACTGAAATGAAATTACAAATGAAATTCCGCTAAAAAACATGTAAAAAAACATTTTGAAATATCTAAATGCAGAGCAATCTGCACTCGGACAAGGAAAATGGCCCGTCGATGTCAGAAGCCGGTGGCAACTCGCCGAACCTTGCCGCCAGTCAGCCCCGATATCTTGTGGGATCCATTAGACTTTAGGTATCTAAAGATAGTATTCAATTGTTTTTTGAAGATTTTTGTAAGGCGAAGCATGCAAAGGATCACCGAAGACAATCTAGTTTTAAATTCAATTCACTCAGAATTGAATTTAAATGTTGAATGTTCGACTGGGTTTTACGGTTAAAGGCCTATTATAATAAAGAATCGTTCAACTAATACCTTAGTTCATTATGTTTACCTTGCCAATATCAAACGCATTCTTATCCTTAAGTCTTTTAGTCTCCTGGAAAACAAATGAGCTTTTCAGCAGTTGACAAAACTTAACGCAAAAACGGAAACTAAGAAAATACATTCACTACTCTTATTACTTGGCATCAAAAACTGCAAATAGCAAGTGACAACGGAAAAGCCTATTACTTCTAAAACAATCAGATAATTGTTTGTTTTAGGCTCTGTTAGGTTATGGAGATTTAGACGTTCTGATCTTGTAAAAGCAGAACAAATTTGTCGAGAATGTAACCTATTTGTTTTTAGTAACGAGAAATCCAAAAGGATTGCCCAATTTGGGTCAGGAAAAAACGCGTTGACTATAAAAACCCTGTACAGTGCCGGTTAACCCAATCGGTTTACAGGAAATGTTCAGTTAAAAGCCTTTTCAGCTGTTAAAGCTCTTTGTCGTTGAAAGTTAAAAGTTGTTGGAAGCCAGCCAGAGCGCTGCGTAGGGCTGAGATCCTCAGAAATTCAATTGAGCGCGCACCGGCTGCCTGATCCCGATCGACCGAAATTGCATTTCAAAGTGTTCCAAAATATTTCTCGAACTCCGATCCTAGGCATGTTTTCAAAACAAATTTTTTTGACTGGGGATCTTCTTTCTGATTCGGCGTCTTTTTTCTTCATTGAGAGACCCGTCTCTTTGGCGCGATAGCGAGCACGTGGCTACTCCAATTAAACCATCACTTGGCCATCAGCGAAGATTTTGCCTCACGGAATGCTCATTTTAACTGAAATTCTAAGGGAAATCGCTGATGTCCTGAAACCGTAGACAGAAAGTAAAGAAAGAAAAGAAAGTAAACAACAGGTCGAACCTTCTCATACCTAAATAAGAAAGATTATTAATCGTTTGACGTAAGGTTATGTTTAATTTGTTTCTAGGATTTTTCTTTTATTGCAAATTTGAACCGTCTACCTTTCTTCGAGTGTGATAAAATCGGGTTTTTAATAGCAAGCTTTCGTCCAAATCAATATAACTAACTTTTAAGCTTTTGAGTGGAAACATAAAGTCTGAATCTTAAGTAAGCGCAGGGTTATTCAGCTCAGTTTGTGTGGTAGAAGTAGTACAATATATAAATACTTGAGATATCTTGAGTGTTCAGAAGCTGAGTAATTAAAGCAAAACAAATGTTTCAAGTTTAATTCACAAAAAAATTCACTTTATATAAAGGATGATCCATGATGATCATGTCATCGTCGTAGAATCCGAACCAGAAACAAAATCGCATTCAAGTCGCTTCAACAGACAAATATTGAACATCAATTTCAGAATCTATGTGTATAAATAAGCTTAGATTTATAAACAAAAATATCAAAATCAAGTCTATAAATAAGTCTAGATTTATAGACATAAATTTCAGAAGGTGTTTAGACATAAACAAAGGTGATTAAATGCAAATCTTATAGTATTATAACAGACTTGTATGCCATAAAGTGTTTGTTCACCAGAGTTCCGCAAATGGAGTTCTTTTAAACTCATCGAGTCTTTTATCGCCCAATTGAATATGGTAATTTTATTGAAACAATTAGAGTTTACAAAGAATTCCACGCAATTCACCAAATTTTCCAAATTATTATGCGTTAATGAAAGAAGTACATTTTCACCCAATTTTGACAAAAGTTTCTCTCTAATCATATTAAAAGGAAAAATTCATTAAGGAAATTGAATGGAATGCCTTTTGAAGGCAGTAAAATAAAACTGTGTTTTGTGAATTTTGTGTTCCTTAAAATTTTAATTGCCTATTGATTAAAATGGAATATGGCACCATGTAAAGCCAAGATGCAGCGGAACGGTAGACAAACGGACCTTTTACTTTATATATTTCTTTGGCTTGATTTAGTTTGACAAGTATCTGAGGGCCAACTACACCTGTGGAGAATCGGTGAGTGCGTTGAAACTTTTGGATCTATCTTATTAGCCTAGAGCTAGAATATGTTATATAAGAAAAATAAGTTCCTTTTCTTTAAATATATATGGTTGAAATGGTTTTGGTCTTTCTTGTTATTTTCTCTATTTCTTGCTGGTTTTTCAATGTTTTTCGTTTGGCTAGATTTTTGGCAAATTAACGCTGCATTGTTTCCTGCATTGTTTCCTCATTTGCTCGATCTGGATATTTTTAAGGAGTCACAGTGAATACTCAACAGAAAACCAAGCTTCAGGGGTTTCTCGAATCATGGTTAACTAATCTGGTGTGTTGAGGTCGTACTGAATGATATAGATCCTGATGTGTTGGCGGCTGTTGTAAACTACATGTACACTCTCAATAGCCCACAACTTTTTGTGGATGGCGTCTCGGATTGCGCGAGCAGCTGATAGGTATTCATCGTAAATCAATGTAGAATAAACGTCTTTAGGTTTATCGTACCCGGATTGAAGTCCCGATGTGAAGCGTTTCTCATCAACGACCTCGCTGCTGACAAGGTTTCCGAACGCCTGAAGACCGCCTATGAGCTTCAAATGAATGTAAGTATCAAAAATATTTTCTAATGTTTTGGATATTTAGAAGCTTAAGCGCAAAACTGTTGACTACTTCGCTCGCAACCGAGGAGAGGTTGTCAAAACTGAGGTAATGTGTGAGCTGTGGCATGGACATAAACCTAAATCTAGGAATGAAAAAATCTTCGGCGCATGGAACCCAAGATGTTAGGACAAATTGTGGAGGATGCCTGGAAGCTGGCCGAAAACCACAGGTGAGCACTGGAACTACTATTTAGACCACCTAATTGTTAGATGTCTACTTGCGAAACATCCCCGTGCCAGCCAAGCGGATATATAAGTTACTACCCAAAAAACTGGATTAAAATGAGGAATAAGATTACACTTTGCTTTGCGGTATGCATCATTTACTAATGCATCTATTTTTTTATGCTTTCCCACAATTTTCCGTGACTATTTTGTTACCATTGTGATTATGAGTGCAAAAGTCCTGTCCAACTCACTTTTTTGAAATATTTGGTCCTAATTCGGACGGGAATCCAAGCATGGAATTTTCTCAGGGTCAACTACCCATGTGGAAAATTCGTGAGTGAGTTCAAGCTTTTTGATTCATTTCAATTTGATTTCCAAAATCCTAGTAATCCACAAAATTCGAAGCAAAACAAGTTTTGCAAAACCAGCAGTCTTCGAGCAATGTGTAAGTTCTCTTTGGCATTCTCAACCCAAACGGCAAAAGACTTGGCTATGACAGGATCTTATTCAATTCAAATCAAAAAAAACTCGGATATGAATTGGATTTTGAATCGAATTGAAAGATGAATAAGAGCTGCTTTGTTCTGATTCAATTCGATCTTTATTAGAAACGTTTCTGGTCAAAATTTACATTTGATTGTTTGAGATTACGACGAAAAATTCACAGCAACAAACAATAATTTGAAATTTTGCGAAAGAAAACAAGTTCAAGGCTCCTCATTGTCAGATAAAAACCTCACAGATTATGGTAATCTATCAAATTTTTCATCCTTTTAAAACCTTTTTCTTCAACCAATTCTACACGGTCGATAAATGTGATGATTCGAACGCGCGACGACGCATGAAGAAGTTCTAATTTTTTGAATAAATTTATTGCGCTGAGGTTAATAACAATAGCCGTAATTTCCGCAGTTAGGTACATATTGGTTTGATAAATCGAAAACTGCTGGACTTGGAGAAACCTCTGAAGCTTGGTTTTCTGTTGAGTATTGACTGTGAAAGACTCCTTGAAAATATCCAGATCGAGCAAAAAGCACAGCACGATGAGGAAACAATGCAGGAAACAATGCAGCGTTAATTTGCCAAAATCTAGCCAAACGAAAAACATTGAAAAACCAGCAAGAAATAGAGAAAATAACAAGAAAGACCAAAACCATTTCAACCATATATATTTAAAGAAAAGGAACTTATTTTTCTTATATAACATATTCTAGCTCTAGGCTAATAAATTCTAATAAATTTCAAACTTACAAAACTTGCAAGCTACAGAGTTTTAAACTTTAAAAAAACCATAAAAAGAAAAACTGAACCTACTCCACTTAATTCTACTAAGCCAACTTAAAATAAGGATGTTCGTTCGCTCCAAATAATTTAAATTATTTATGCAAAGGAATCCAGATCGGAATTTTGCCAAAAACGGGTGAGAGTTTCTGTTTGGATAGAGCCAAAAAACAATTGAATTTGAAGGCTCTTAAGCAACCAAATTTTAAGGCAGCTTGGGAACTTTGCAACCACCGGCATTGTTGACGATTCTCGACCGAATAACACAGTTTTATTTGAAAATGTTTTTTACTACCATGAAGGCATTGACGGATTTTGACTCTTCAACCGAGGGACAAATAAATGGGCCACTTGTCCTTCGAATAGAGTGATGTTGATTTGATTTTGATGTTGAAGATATTCTGGATACTTCTCAAACTAAATCAAGTCAAAGAAATATATAAAGTAAAAGGTCCGTTTGTCTACCGTTTTTCTGCACCTTTCTTTTCTTTCCTTTTCGCTCTAAATGATTTAAACAGATCCAAAAGTTTCAACGCACTCACCGATTCTCCACAGGTGTAGTTGGCCCTCAGATACTTGTCAAACTAAATCAAGCCAAAGAAATATATAAAGTAAAAAGGTCCGTTTGTCTACCGTTCCGCTGCATCTTGGCTTTACATGGTGCCATATTCCATTTTAATCAATAGGCAATTAAAATTTTAAGGAACACAAAATTCACAAAACACAGTTTTACGCATTCGCAAAATGCGCAAAATGGCGGATAAGAGGTGATGTAGAAGGACATGAAGACTGAGGCAAGCCTGGACTTTCACGAAGAGATTATAGCAATCCAAGAAATGACCGATAAATAGAGAATCAAATGTTAGAGAAAATCGCTTTAAATTGAGGTGCTAATAAAATTTTAGACATCTACTTTGATGGTCCCATTAAAACTTATTTAGAATTTTTTACGATAATTATTTTTGGAAAGCAAGATGCCTCTATTAATTCTTGACACTCTTTTTTAGGTTTGATCTCAAAACTGAAAAAACGTAATCATTATTCTCCCGATTGCTGTACATGTGAAAGAGAATACCGAAAGAGAATGTCTAACAAAAAAGACAAGAAAATGACGGTAAAGATCTGCAATATTTCGCATTAGCTTCCGCACAATTTTATTTGAAGGATGTCTTAGCCATCTTCAGAGCACAATGATTTATATAGACTATTTTCTGAGGGCACTATTTTCTGATTTGAGGATCGCTTTTAGTGTTTGAAAAATGAAAATAGAGTCAGATTTGTGAAGAATTTTAATTTTCGGTAGGTTGAGTTGAGATTCGTTAGACTTTTAATTCTCGTATCCCCTTACAGAGATTAGAAACCCCTGGGGAGACCGAATTTTCGCATCGAAGGTTGTCGAAAAGGTGTAGTATCCATCTGTCCAAAATAGTTTTGAAGCAAAATAATAATTAACCCCTAAAGATTTCCGGCTACATTTCAAGGAATTATAAAATATGAAAACCTCAAATGATCTAAAAGGTAAGTTACGTATGCTATAATATTAGAATCTACACAAAATTTGACTTTAGAAATGTTCTATTTGTTTCATAGACTTACCAATAAAAACCTAGATAAAATTAGGGTCAAAGTCGGATAAGCCTTCTACAAAGCCTTTTCAGTATTGAAAGCCTTTTTTTCAAATAAAATTTCAACTAAAATAGTTCTTTGTGTTCTAAATAGAATTCTTCTACCTCTAAATATAATTATTTTCTCCCAAAGATAGATCGGAAAAATGGCAGAATGAGTTGAATAGTTCCTATTTTTTAGCTCCAGACCAGAGGTCTGGTGTAGTGGTTATCACATCTGTCTAACATACACAAGGTCGGCGGTTCGGCCCCGCATTTTAATCAATCATTTTAATTTTTCAAATTTGTCCGCCAATCGCTTTGCTTTTTTAACTACCAGAGGTAGTTTTTGATAGTAATACGAAAAGGTGAACTAGATAGGCTGGTCAAATGACTTGAGCCATAGACCTATCAACGCAGAATTTTACGCTGGATCCGAATCTGCTAAATAGCACTCTGTCAAAAGTTATGAGTATCCAAAGTTTTGTATGGGGTTTTAAAAACATCTCTCTTGTTAACAAATAACAAAGTAAGCTTCGGCAACAGCCTAAAAGCAATTTGCCTGACTCGAGCCGACTTTTCCCCACATTTAATGGGTAGAACAAACTGTAGATGTAGAGTTTTTGTGGCCCTTTTTATCCCTGTCAATTTCCCAGCGGCCACTGCGGTCTCGTGGTGTAGTGGTTATCTCATTAAGCGGGCTTTGAGCTGAAGAAGTTGACCACCCAATTGTTGATCTCATCGATGTCTTTGAGCTGTTCTTCTCGCAGGGAATGTTCCATATTCCGAAATAAGTGATAATCTGGGGAGCCATATCGGGACTATACGGGGCATCAGGAAGCACTTGCCACTCTAACTCTTCGAGTTTTTCCTGAGCCTTCCTTTCCTTGTTTGTATCTATGAATGAAATTGAACGCCTTTTTGGCGCGGGTTAAAAAACATCACTTGAGTTTATAAGCAGATTTTTGAAATAAGGCCTCTATTAATGTGCTCAAACGTTTTTATTTCAGGAATGAGACGTCGATCGGTTGGTTCGTTTCTTGTGTGATGAGGCGCGCAAGCTGAAACCGGATTTTGTTAACTTTTTAAAAGACTGTTTCACCATCATGTACAGAGTGCGGCCTAAGTATGGTTACAAGGTTGTAACATCGATTTAAGAAACTGGTTGATTTTTATTTCTTGACTCTAGCTAAACTGCAAGGAATTTTCGAGAATAAAAATTGAATTGTCTTGATGGCCCTGTTGTGAACTTTTTCTCCATTTCTATCACTGTTTTAAAACTACATTCCATAAATTCTTATAGCTAAGTTTTTTTAATTCCTTTGTTATAAAGTGATTTTCAACCAACCATGTGCTCTTTGAGATGTGCCTCACGTTCCCCAATAGAGACCCACTTTTGAAAGCCCTAAATTGATTAACGATTTTAAACTCGACGGCTTGTTGAGCTTACTTATGATTAGATTTTAGTATTAACTGACGATAATCTCTAAAAACGAATCAATTTTTGTGAGTTGATTTGCTACACTTAATTTAATCTTTAATTATTTTCATTTTTAGAGATGGGAAGATGAAAACAACGCACACCGGAAGCATATCTCGACCCAACATGCTGGTCATAAATATTTGGCAAAAAGATTCGAAGACACAGGACGCATCCCTAATCAGTTTGCTTCAAAAAATTTCCACGTGATCACGTGTCCCTCTCAGCTCACGTTTTTGATCGTTTGAATCCGATTTTTTGTTTTAGGTTGTTATCATTCCAGCATCCATATAAATAGTATTCGGACTGACAAGGATTTCGATCTGCCATCAGTTCACAGCTTCTAACACATACGTCTTCTCTCCTCTTGTCTTGCTCTTCTCTTCGCCGTTCTTTCTCTTAAAGCTCCTTTATCCCTATTTAGCTTTTAGAAAGCTCCTTTAAAGCTCCTTCTTTATCGTCCTTATTTAGTTCCTAGCTCTAACTAGCTCTAACACAAGCAATGCGTCTGCTCTCCTCTTGTCTCGCTCTTCTCTTCGCCGTTCTTCTCGTCTTCAGTGGGTTCAAGTTTAAATAAATTAATCTTCTCAAAGTTTTATTTAATTAGCGCATTTCTCAGCCTATAAATTGCTTCAAGTTTTTGGCTTATTGGAAAGAT